TAAACGCGTTACATACTATGATTTTTCTACGAACTCCAAAAATTACATTAATTAACATACCTGCTATTCCTGCTAACCTACAAAATAATTCGAAAGGAATGGGAATTGAGAACATAATACATACAACTGCATGCAACCAGCGAGACACGTATGTGATATTGGTTGTAGATCTGTCCAGTCCATTGCTTACTAACCTTTGTTTCACGTTTATTGTCATGCTTAGCGCTGAATAAATAAATTGTTCTCAAAGATGGATGCTTCATTTTAACACTTCTTGGACGTATGTGAGTACCTGAACATTCTCTTCGATTTCACTCTCGTCTATTTTTCGCATATACTTTTAATGAAGAATTCCGATACAAACGAATATTGTTTGAATAATTCTGATACAAAATATGAAAATAACAGTTGACAGTTAATACAATTGACAGGCCAGACATGTCTCGAATTACTGAAGCTGTGTTTAATGAACTGCGTTGCCATGGTGATGTGTTTAAGAAATCGTGTTGCCATGGTAACGTGTTTAATATTTTGAATAAATCACAGATCGACAATCCGTGATTAATCGATCATTTAGCGTGGTACATATCCGTACGATAAATGCCATTTTAGTTATGTGAGTAGAAAAATGTTGTTTCATTATCTTTTTCAAGGGTTATAAGAAGTTTGATACTGTATATAGTATAAACAATAGTCCTCTCAGATACGTTCCAACTGTTCTAGATCTAGGGGTCACTTTTGATGAACAAATGAGATTTGTAAATCACATAAACACCATTTCAGTGAAATCATCAAAGATTTTAGGAATGATTATTCGTAATTGCTCTGAATTCTCAGTGGATTCTATAAGGAAGGTCTATATGTCATTGGTCATTTCTGAACTGACTTATGCATCTATTGTCTGGTCTCCTCTTTATCAGGTTCATAATATAGCCATGGAGAGAGTACAGAACAAATTTCTGAGGTATTGTGCCTTTAAATTGAACATTCGTTGGGAAAACCATCAATATATGCATATTATGAACGAAATTAACTTAATTCCATTGCGTAGTAGAAGACTCAAGTTAGATTTATGTTTTATCTTCAAATTATTGAATGGTGCTGTGAACTGTCCGGAACTACTGGAGTTAATTAAGTTTAATGTCCCAAATAGAGTCCTTAGATTTCCATATTTATTTCAAATACCATTTCATGTCACAAATTATGGACAGCATAATCCAATAGAAAGGACATTAAGATTCATAAATGAAAATAATTTAGATGTATTAGGATGTTCATTTAATAAGTTTAAGATGTCTTTGCGTGATAGCTTATAGCCTATTGTTTCGTTTCATGTTTTTATTCTTCTCTTTTCCTTATCGAAATTGTTAAGTGAGTACCTATGTGTTGAGACATGGTGTATATTAATTATATTCATTATATTCTTATATTCATACTGTATTCAAACTTGTAATGGGGGTTTCCCGTAAATAAATAAATAAATAAAAAAAAAAATATTCTGAGGTTTTTAATCGATTTGTAATAGAGATTCTGAGTATTTCTAAATATTCTAATTTCAGTTGATGACCCGCCGTCTGTTGAAAGAAATTGCCCGGAAAATTCTTGATTAGAATTTTCATAAAATTGCGGATTTCTAAAACACACTTCAAAAGATTTTTGCGTCAATGATTTCCAAGATTTGCACATACCATTATGATAAAATCATACAGTGTGACTAATGCTATTACCGTCTACCAAAAAATTACTGAATCCAACCCTGGATATAGAAGAATGTTGATTTTCAGTGAGCTGAAGAATAGGAAATGATGTTATTCTTGCTTCTATTCGTGAAATTTCAGCGTTGCGAAGTATTAATTTTCAAATCAATACATTTGTTGCCCAAGTTTCGCGTGTAGTATGAATTAATCATTTTCTAAGAAATTCAATGAAAGTGGGAGGAAAATTTGAAAAACTCCATTTTGGTTGCTTGTTCATCAACTTTAAAAATTCCATATCACAGTTTACTAAAACCTTATACAGGGTGAAATTTTTTATATGAACCAAACTGGCAGAATTTCTCAAGACCAGTCCTGGATTTTAACGATTATGAATACTTAAGTTGATTGCTGAGTAATAGCATAATAATCCATGAAAAAATGAAAGGAATCGGAAGACCTGTTGAAAAGTTATGATTGAAAGAAGTTTTGGCCATATCCCATAAATCACCCTATAGATTATTTTAGATGAGGCGGAGACACTTTCTGAAGGTCATTTGGTATTCCCCCCAGGTACCTCTATTCGTAGTAGGAGCATGTACAGTTCCTCATGACTCACCCTATACAAGTATACTTCTCCTATACATTTCAATCCTCATTTTAATATTGAACATAATATTTATTTGTAAGTTATATTTTCATATCATAATTCATCATATTATTCTATTCGATTTGAGAGATAATGTCAATTCTCAATTTCACAGGATTTTGATTTTTCTTGCTTTCTTTTTGGATATTTAACAGATATAATTCAATGTTCGACGTGGAGAATGATAAACTGGGCGTCAATTGAAACGTTAATAGTGAAATTTGGCATCAAGTTTGACTTCTCGTAATTTCTAAAATATTGAACCAATTTTGAATTGCCGCCCAGATTCTGAATGCCTTTTTCATCGTCTTTCGAACTGTTCCTTACAGCTTCTTCTAAATTGATCAGGACCCGTGATACAGGGTGAAACAAAGTTTCGTGCATTTTGAAAAAAATTTCTCCGCCCCCCCATTTTGTCGGAAGACCACGATGCTCATATTTTATTCGGGCATTTCATCAATACCAACCATACCTCGGGACGTTTTCGAGTTTTTGCCAAAAACTACTGTGGTTTCCGAAAAAAAAAATTTTTGTATTTTTTTAAATGGACTAATGTTAGAGGAGTTCCATAAATGGATGCTTTTATGCATTTCAGGAAATCGTTGGAGCAGATATGTAAACCAGGTTACTCAAAAACAATCAATAATTTATTACTTCGCAGTCTATGATGAAAGTGAGCAGTAAATCAACACATCTCATCAACAAATACAAACAAGGATACCTACCTTGTTTTTATAACAGCGTATTGTTGAAACAATGTAGGTATGCATAGAGGTTATATCAATTGCCAATTTTCATGAAAACGTCAGTGTAATTCGGGTCCTAAAAAATTTGAAGATGCCTCTTTCAAATCGGGTCGAAATGGAAAATATCATTTGGTAAGATCATTATAGTGATATAAACTATAATTCAGTACAGATAATTATTATATCAGGTTACGACGATTAGGATATACCCAAACTCATTTAAGTACCATTTTCAATAAGTCAGTCATGACAATAAATAGACTGATTCATCGTTTTGAGGATACAGGTAATCTAAAAAAAATGCAAACAAATTTTTTTTTTCGGAGACCACAGTAGTTTTTGGCAAAAAACGAAAACGTCCCGAAGTATGGTTGCTATTTATGAAATGCCTGAATAAAATATGAGCATCGTGGTCTTCCGACAAAATGGGGGGGGCGGAGAAATTCTTTTCAAAATGCACGAAACTTTGTTTCACCCTGTATCACGGGTCCTGATCAATTCAGAAGATGTTGTAAGGAACGGTTCGAAAGACGATGAAAAAGGCATTCAGAATCTGGGCGGCAATTCAAAATTGGTTCAATATTTCAGAAATTACGAGAAGTCAAACTTGATGCCAAATTTCACTATTAACGTTTCAATTGACGCCCAGTTTATTATGTGCATATTTTTATATTATGGAAGAGAATGGAAATTCCCTACTTCGGAAGATTTTGTTTTCAAATTCTTATCGTGTGTGTTCAATAGATGTAATTCAATGTTCGTCGTGGCATATAGCCAGGAAAGTAGTTGTTCTCCGTTGAATAAACCGAGAAAGGATCAATATTTTCATTACATGGAGAATGCGAATTCTCAATGTAATTCTTTATAAATATACAGGGTCGCTGATATGTATGGAAACAGGTGAATATCTCGGCAATCTGTTGTTAGATTTTTCTGAATTTATGTACAGTGTGATTTCAAAACGTGGCGGATTCGAAAATGTTATAGCCTCTGTTGCCACTTTTTCAGTTATTCCGGATTTTTAGTTACTTCCTTATTTTGAATGAAACACCCTGTACTTTCTTGGATTTCCAGATTCTCCTTGAAGAGCTGATTCCATCGATCTATCACACTTGAGGTCGAGCGGGAATGATTACATAGGTATAGGGTGTTTGAAATCTAGGTTTTTCAACTTCAAGATTTTTTTGTGTAGAAACTATCCATTATCGATCAAAACCGCTCCAATGTTTCTATCTTCCCTTTTGATTTACCATCTACTGACTATTTAATTGGAGCAGATACAGAGGGTGATCAGAATTCTGAATCTTGAACCACCCTGTATTTGTTTCAATTAAATGTCAGTAGATAGTAAATCAGAAGTAAAGATGGGAACATTGGAGCGGTTTTGATCGATAATGAATAGTTTCGACACAAAAAAATACTAAAGTTGAAAAATCTAGATTTTAAACACCCTATACCTATGTATTCATTCCTGCTAGACCCCAAGTGTGATAGATCGATGGAATTAGCTCTTCAAGGAGAATCTGAAAATCCAATAAATTACAGGGTGTTCTATTCAAAATAAGGAAGTTAATAGAAAAAACTGGTATAACTGAAAAAGTAGCAACATTGGCTATAACATCTTCAGATCTGCCACGTTTTGAAATCACACAGTACATAAATTCAAAGAAATCCAACAACAGGTTACCGAGATATTCACCTGTTTCCATACATATCAGCGACCCTGTATATCAATTTCTTTGTGTTCATAAATATATCTGAGAATATTCCTCTTAAATCCGAAATGATTGCTCACATAACTGTACCAAATTTAAAAAAAATCCGTTTACGAATGCAAGAGTCACAAGGGTGGCCCGCGATACCCAGTGTCTCCCGGTATAATCACATCGAGAGAAAAAAAAATGAACCCACCTGCAAGCCATCCGTTTCCTGCGATCCAGCCACCTCAGCTGCTGCTCGCCGCTCTCCTCCTCTTCCCCCACTCCGAAAAAGTTCGCCGTCTCCTTCCTAATGTACCTCTTGATCGCCTCGCCCCGCCTACTGACCGACCTCTCCAGGGGCGGTACTTCGCTAGCCACGCCCCTTGCTCCTCCAACCCTCTCGCTCTGCGAGTACGCCAACGGCCTGGCAGGCGGCCGTCTGGCCCCGCCCTCGACCACAGGCGGCAAAGACACGCCTCTAGGGGGCGGTACGGAGATCGCCTGGTCGGTCGATGGGCGGATGGGCGGTTCTGGGCGTGGCGGTTCCGGGGGACGGTCGTCGGGGGCGACAGGAGTGGGCGGGCGCTGTGTTGGTTGTATGGGCTGTTTTTGGAGGGGCATGGGTGGTTGTTGTTGTTGGGAGGGTGAGTCCTGCGGGTGGTGCTGTAGAGGAGGGGTGAGTTGCGCAGGTCCTCGCCTGGGTAGAAGAGAGAGAGGGGGTTAGTGGTAGTAGTAGTAGTAGTAATTTATTTAGACTTCCGCTATAAGTTCCAACAACAATATACACAGTGTGTCCCAAATTCGATCCTCACCATTGGGATCCCAGTAACTATTAAAGATAGAGAAACGGTTGAATTGGCAAAGTTGTAGCAAATTTTATGTTGAATCAAAATCTATTGAGAAATCCGGGCTGGCTTTAGTCATTCTTGAGTTATTTGAGAAAAACTGAAATCTTGTATTTTTGTTTCGTTCGAATATCTCGGAAACTATAGATTTTATGAGGAAATGCTTTCAACATTCTCATAGCATTTTTTGGTGTTCTTTTCAATGGTTTTGTCAGTTCTCCATCAAAATGTCAAATTTGTGAGATATCACCTACAACTTCAATTTTGCTCATGGACGCCATATTGGATTTTAACAGATTTGAAATCAGAATAAAATTTCCGTTCTACAGTGTGTCCCACTTACCATGCTCACCATGGGTATCTTTTTAACGGTGAGCCAACTATAATGTGAAAAAATATTTCGATAAAATTTATTCGTTTTATTTTATACGCAAAAAACAGATTTTGATCATTTTCATGTCTCTTCCGTAACTTCTTTATTTATGAAAATATTCAAATAGGAATTTCACATTCTCATAGCAGTTTTTCAAAGTGATTTCGAAAAAAATATGAAATTTATACCAACTCTTCCAGAATTTGAGATATCAGCACCAACTTTAGTTTTTCAAATGAAGGTCATAGGTCACTATGACCTAGTTACAAATAACTTTTTTTTCTCTCACAGATGATATGTCGCAGTGATAGTTTTCTGTTGATAACAACGGAGTTATCGTCATTTCTACAAAAACAAAAAACCATTTGGAAGCCGCCATCTTGAATTTATAAATTTCAACAAAAAAATCATGATCTCCGACCTCAAAAACCCCCACTTACCAATTTTGAATGGAATCGGACCAAATTTTGCCCGCCATCTTGGAGCAGCCATTTTTTTAATTTCAACAAAAATTTCATAACTCCGATCAACTTGAAATTCGGCAGGTGTTTATAATTTCGGTGACAATCATCAATATCTTGAATTGGCTCTTCATAAATTTTATTTTTGGCGTAGCCCCACAGGTGAAAATCGAGAGGCGTACAATCAGGCGACCTTGGAGGCCACATAACAGGTCCATGAGTAGTAATTAATTTAGCACCAAATTGATTTTCGAGATATCGATATCGATTCTTTCACACTGGTTGACGAACCAGTGACAAAACTCGAGACGACGTTCATTATCACCAGGTCTTAACCCTTGTACTGTCACTGGTTTTTGTGAACGGCATTGTTTAACTTGTATTTTCTCTTGACGTTTACAGAAATGTCACTTGGCTCCAAGCCTACTCTATGGAAGTTGTGCCAGAACACATAATCGTTATTGTTTATAGAGAGTTTAGAGCATAGCCTACTAAACATAAAAACAAAAATTGGAAATCAGTACTCTTTATGCTATAAAACTGTTACTGTGATACATCACTAGAAAGGAAATTCTTTGCTGATTCCAAATTTGTGAAAATCCAATATGGCGTTCATAAGAAAAACCGAAGTTGTAGGTGATATCTCAGAAATTTGACATTATGATGAAAAACTGACAAAACCATTGAAAAGAACACCAAAAAGTGCTATGAGTCAATTTTTCATAAAATCAATAGTTTCCGAGATATTCGAGATAAAAAAGAATACAAGATATCATTTTTTCTCAAATAACTCAAGAATGACTGGAGCTAGCCCTGGATTTCTTGATTGATTCTGATTCAACATTAAATTTGCTACAACTTTGCTAATTTGAGCGTTTCTCTATCTCTCATAGTTACTGAGATCCCAATGGTGAGGATCGAATTTGGGACACACTGTACAGTGTGGTCATTTAAGTGTGCAACATACAGAGTGGGCCTTTGAAAACGAAACAGAGGCTCTGTAGGTCGCCAAAACCGGATTATCAAAAAAAACTGAAACAGGTCAACTACATTTTCGAGGGGGACATCTTTCTAAAATATTTTCAGCCCTGCGGCGTTGCCGCTTCTAAAGAAAAGAAGCAACAACTTTGTTATTTCAAATGGAACAGCTTGTATTTTATTGCATTCTTAGATTCTCTCCGAAGAGCTGAATTCATCAATGCATCACACTTGGGGTCTAGCTGTAATGGTTTCAGGGATATAAAGTGTTCAAAATAGAGATTTTTCAACTTTAAAATTTTTTTGTGTCGAAACTATTCATTATTGGTCAAAACGGCTCTCATGTCCCTATCTCAACTTGTGATTTACTATCTACTGACATTTATTTGAAACAAATACAGGGTGGTTCAAGATTCAGAATTCTGATCACCCTGTATCTGTTTCAATTAAATGTTAGTAGATAGTGAATCACAAGTTGAGATAGGGACATGGGAGTCGTTTTGACCAATAATGATTAGTTTCGACACAAAAAAATTTTAAAGTTGAAAAATCTCGATTTTGAACACTTTATATCCCTGAAACCATTACAGCTAGACCCCAAGTGTGATGCATTGATGAAATCAGATTTTTGGGGAGAATCTGAAAATGCAATAAAATACAAGGTGTTCCATTTGAAATAACAAAGTTGTTGCTTCTTTTGTTAGCAGCGGCAACGCCGCAGGGCTGAAAATATTGTAGGACGATGTCCCCCTCGAAAATGTAGATGACGTGTTTCAGATTCTTTTCATAATCCGGTTTTGGCGACCTACAGAGCCTCTGTTTCGTTTTCAAAGGCCCACTCTGTATGAAAATCTTTTTAATGAATTGCACAACCGAAATTCAGATCGTGCCGAAAGTTGGTGCATGTTCGATAATCATTTCAGGTGAACTTAGGATGGTTGCAAGTCAAACAGCATACAGGGTAGGTCAATAACTATATAGATTGCTCAAGAGTAAAGTACCGTTATTTCAGGAAATTCAGCAAAATGTTATTGAGATATTTATGACTAAATACCAAAACATGGCCACCTAAGACATTTTTTAGTTATCTCTTTGAAAAAATCTGGACCACTTTGAGAAGGATGGATGGTTTTCATTATATATTTAATTATATATTCATTATATATTTAATTATAATCGTTAATAATTTCCCAATTTGTAAGAGAACACCAATTCCTACCTCATTTCCCTTGGTTCTCACGATGTTCTTTGAACATTACAGGATATTCCTTTTCGTGGGAACCAGAACATAAGAAAAAAGTTTGAGATATACCGGGTGTACCACTAAGAAAGGACGCCGGCTGTATTTCGGGAACTATTTGCCGCACATGTTTCGGAAAAAAAATGTATGATAAAAGTGGCCAAGAAAAATCTCTGGAAATTATTTTCAAGTTCCCAGGACAGCCGCTAGAGGGCATAATTGCATTGGCCAACTTAAAAAACCGGTTTTTATGAAAATTTTATATATCAAGACATATCAGAAACACTTTTTCCATGTTCTAGAGTTGATTTCCAATCATTCCGATAAAAAAAATTGCTCTAGCTCTTTAAATAAAATAGGGAGGGAAGGATGAATAGTACTCTGGAAAAACTCTTATTACTACAGTTTGGTGTAAAGGAATTTGGCGATCTTGGTCTCATTATGAAGGGTTTTTTCAGATCTTCCCGATTAATCACAAATCAAGTCGATTTAAATCCCGTGGTGGCCGCTAGATGGCATCTTGGCATCGTTTGAAAAATCAGCCGATTTGCCATTTTTTCAAATAGAACCATATATTGTTCCTGCTATGATATGAAAGTAAAGTAAACGAGAATAAAAATGGTGAAAACCGCAATTTGATACCTCTTGAAGAAACGGAAAAATACTCGGAATAACATTAAAATTTGAACTGTTAGCATGTCAAATGCCTCCTCATTCGTTATCGGTATTTTGACAAATAAGCAATCCACAATGAACAGTGTGAACTTCCAATGAAACTTCAATTATTATTTGACGTTTCTTCCATTCAAAGCCAGCTTGCCTTTTCTCATTCCTGAACCTATACTCACTACTTACATTTCAATTAGCTATGTCATTAGAGAGTCTCCTTCACTATTGTGAGATATAACAGCAGTTTGTGAAACCAAAATAAATGAATTATTGATATCATAATTTCATAAAGACAGGATATTTCTGATTACGATTATTGAAGTTAGATTCCTGTGGTTAATATTTTCATAATATTATTTCGAGTATTTCACCGGTTCCTCAAGAGGTATCAATTCGCGGTTTTCACCATTTTTCTTCTCATTCGCTCTAGTTTCATATAAGAGTAGAGCAAATATATGGTTCCATTTGAAATTGTCGAAAAAAATGGAAAATTGTCTGATTTTTCAAACGATGCCACCTATAGCGGCCACCACAAGATTCAGATCGACTTGATTCGTGATTCATCTGGAAGAAACAAATGAACCCTTTATAATGAGACTAAGATCGTTGAATTCCGTTTCACCAAACTGTATAGTAATGAGAGTTTTTTCAAAGTACAATTCATCTTTCCCTCCCTCTTTTATTCAAAGAGCTAGCGCATTTTTTTCTGATCGAAATGATTGGAAATCAACTCGAGAACATAAAAAAAGTGTTTCTGATATGTCTTGATATATCAAATTTTCATAAAAACCCGTTTATTAAACTGGCCAATGCAATTACGTCCTCTAGGGGCTGTCCTGGAAACTTGAAAATAATTTCCAGAGATTTCTCTAGGCCACTTTCATCATTCATATTTTTTTCCGAAATCTGTGAGGCAAATAGTTTCCGAGTTACAGCCGGCGTCCTTTCTTAGTGGTACACACGGTATATGCTACCCTGGCTGAAATCCCCTTGTTCGCGCGAGAATTCAGAGAGCCACAGATGGAAAAGGTGTAACTAGACGCTTATTTAATCGCGACCCAGGTGCAATTCTCGTAGAAACCTCGTTTTCCAACAAAATAAGCCGTCGTAAAAATTTCATTCGTCTCACTA